AAGAACGATCATTCGATCATTCACGGGCTTTTTCCCCCACTTCGGAAGAATCGCCAATTATCTGCCCTTCTCTCTTTGGGTCAGCGACGTCTTATCAATTTCTATTAATAAGATAACACTAACTCCAAGGGGTCAGGGAGACCCATCAAAAGGCAGTACAAAAACAGCGATGGCTTTTGCGAACTTGACTGCACAAGAAAAACAACAACAAAATCGCCGTGTGCAGCGATATCCGATCGCTTTACAGCTGGCTCTCCGAATTCTTGCCCCGCGGGATTTCGCTACGAAATAAACTCCGAAAAGATCAGCGCATTTCACTGCCTCTCTTCTGCTTGTTTCGCATGTAGGTAGCAGCTCTAATTTCGATAGTGCTAGGGCAAGTGAAAATTTATAAATTTTTTTTGCTCTGTATATTGTTCATCACTAATTCGATACAAAAAAATTCGATACAAAAAAATTAACAACGATGGCATTACTCAGCGGTTGAGTCATGACGACCCTCAAATTTGGTTTATTAAACCTAATATAAAAAAAAGAAACTTCAAGATAAATGAAAGCGTAAAATCAGCTATTATAAGTGCATAATTTTCATGTATAGATACGGCAGGCTTCAGAATGCCATAGAAATTCACATTCTACGTTCTATCTTTGAAACTTTTAAGCACTAATTTGCAGCATGCATCTATTGACGCATAAAGCAGCGCACAGATGTACGCAGTGCGGTAAGACATTCTCGCGGCCGTGGCTTTTGCAAGGACATATGCGAGCCCACACTGGTCAGAAACCGTACGGATGCGCACATTGCGGCAAAGCTTTTGCTGACCGGAGCAATCTTCGCGCTCACATGCATACTCATACCGGTATGGCCTTCTTCATCTCGAGCCTAGTATCATGTGAATCCAGCGAGCTACCTTTATTTTCTGATTTAACTCCGAATTTCTGCGCCTGTGAAGTATTTTCGAGGGATTGTCAAAAAGAATAACTCTCAATAAAAACCAAAATTCCTTTTTTCCTACTTTTTTCTCATATTTTTTCTTTTTGTAATGTTTCCTTATTGGATAAAAATTCGCTTTTTTTTTCTTGCAAATTCCTTTTGTGCTTTTATTTTTGCATTTTGCCTTTTTAATGTTCTCTTGATCTGTAACAACTGTTACGGCTTTGAACCGTTTTTCGTTTTATGCAAATCCACAAACTTGTGCTGACAAAGGTCTCCCTTCCTCTTCCTGACACGATTTCTGTAGAGAAGCCGGAATTTCAACAAATTAGCTTTCTGTCTTTGTCTAAGACTG